TGTGTGTATATGTGTGTGTGTGTGTGTGTGATGTATATAGGGTGTGTGTATGTCTGATGTATACAGGGGTATGTGTGTGTGTGTCTGATGTATATGGAGGTGTGTGTGTGTGTCTGATGTATACAGGGGTGTGTGTGTGTGTGTGTGTGTGTCTGATGTATATAGGGGTGTGTGTATGTGTGTGTCTGATGTATATAGGGGTGTGTGTGTGTGTGTGTCTGATGTATATAGGGGAGTGTGTGTGTGTGTGTGTGTGTCTGATGTATATAGGGGTGTGTGTGTGTGTGTGTGTGTGTCTGATGTATATAGGGGTGTGTGTGTGTGTGTGTGTACACATACATAAACACAGCTAAGCATAGCTTCCAGATATTCAAGGCAGGAATGGAGTTAGTGAAACAGATTCCCAATCTTTCATTCTTGACTACTTTTTTAGTACTCATGGAAGCTGTTCAATTTTAGAAACAAAATCATGGCTCAACCTAGTTAAATTCTGCCAAATGTAGCTTTTACAAGCAGGGACAGAAAATGAGTGCATCATACAATTAGAGAACCAAAGTCTTTTATTCAAAGGAAGAAAAGTATGGATTCAACCTTGCCGAGGACGTCACTGTCTGGTCTGGTAGCCACTAGACACATTTGGCTATTGAGCACTTGAAGTGTGGCAGTGGAACCAAGTACATTTAATTGACACTGAAATCTTGATAGTCACATGTGGCTAGGGGCTATACTGAACAGCACAGCTCTAAAGTTTAATACACATAACTGGGCCTAAAATTTTAGTCAGTGATTGTCCAATAAATGGGAAAGGGTAATCCTCAGCCACTGCCCTCAGTGTGACAAGTAAAAATAAAATGGTAGACATTCATGGTATACAATATGATGTTTTGAAATATGTACACTGTATATGCGCTGTGAAATGGCTTTTTTTTTTTGAACATGGGGTCTCACTGTTGTTGCCCAGGCTGGAGTACAATGGCACAATCTTTGCTCACTGTACCCTTCACCTCCTGGCTTCAAGTGATTCTCCTGCCTCAGCCTCCCAAGGAGCTGGGACTACAGGCACCTGCCACCACACCTAGCTAATATTTGTATTTTTAGTAGAGACAGAATTTCCTGTTGGCCAGGCTGGTCTTGAATTCCTGACCTCAGGTGATCCGCCCACCTTGGCCTCCCAAAGTGCTGGGATTACAAGCATGAGCCACCTTGCCCGGCCAAAATTTTGTAATTATACGTTTTTCCAACTAATAAAAAAGCTGGCTCTGAGGGGTCCAGTCAACATTTTTGGCAGCAGTCAAGTTGCTAGAAGGTGGTACCTGCACTCAGAAAAGGGATCTCTGCAGTTAAAAAGGACATGCTAGTTACATTAAAACTTATGAACGTTTATTTTCTGGAAACTTTCCTTGTGAATTTAAACACTACCCAGAAGAGGTTTACCTTGAGAGAAAATCAAAAGACTGAATTAGCATTAGTTAGGATTACGTCTAGGTCTTCTGAGCACCACAGACAGAGGAATAAAAGAGATTAACTGATGGAACCAAAAATCTCTCCTTTTCAATATTAGTTATTCTAGCAACCCCAACAAGCTATTTCTGTGCGGCTAGAATATGATCAAGTCTACATATGTCTAAATGATTCAAACAGTACTTCTAAATTTAAAAATAGTAAACTTCAAAAAGTCAAACAGCTAAAGGGACATTACAGAGGCCACTGGTTCCCCTCTGTGCCCCCACCCAGTCGTGAGACTTCTCCCCTACAGAGTGACTTCACACATGACAGTGTAGGATGGCAATGGAAGTCATTAGACCGAAGTGACTAGGTGAAAATGTTAAAAAGCCACTGTTTAAACACAAGCAGATCCAAAATTATGAGATTTTTCTTTTACAATTTAAAAGTATGGTGTGGAATAGGAGCTTGGGAGGGTTAATGATTTTTATAGAGATGGAAAAAATATTGTATAAGTCTGGAAATATAAAAGATGGCAGAGTACGGAGAATATATTAACAGATAATTTACCAAATCCTGGATTATATAAACAAGGAACGGTTCCCCCAAACTTGAATAAGACAGACACAAAAAAGGAAGTAGTGAGCAATACAAACTGTCATTCCAAAAGAGAGTACGAACTTAAAAGAGGGCACACAGCAGTGACATACGTTTACGTATATGGAGTTATAGAGGGACACCAGAACCCTGTGGAAGGATGGCTCTGATTTCAGGTATCAGGGTGGCAATCAGAGGTGGACTCTGAGCTAAATGAACCACTCATCCCTCCAATTTGCTTGCTTACACACTGCCCGTCCTACGTACTCTTTTACTGCAGGAACCTGGAAATTGTGTAATTTTTAAAAAATGGAAACATCAAACTAGAGTATAGTTTCTGAGAGATGATCACTTTCAGAAGACAGTTAAATCCAGTATTACAGAGTTACAGGGAAGTCTGAGGATATTTAGTTAATTCATTTTGATGACTATAGTTATAAACAAATTACAATTTTAAAGTATACTTCACTAAGCCAAAGAGAAAATATGCAATATTATAAAGATAAATCATTATTTACCTAAGGAAATAAAAATCTTTGAAATTAGATTCTATAAAAACTAACTCTATAGAAATGAATAGCAATACTGCCAAACACATATGATAAAAGTCAAAACTATCACTGTTGGTCTCAAAATACTGTTCAGGGAAGTTCACATGAAAAAGAAGTCTGTTTGTTTTGAAGAGATTGAATTTAAAAAGCAAAAAATTTCTAAGCTTTACCTTGACAAAAATACTGGTAGGTATAAAACGCCTGAGCAGCTGATTTGTGAAGTTAGGAAATCTAAGCAAGTTGATGCTGAGAGATGGCAGCTGCTGGTATCCAGCCATCAGAGGGTAGAAATTATATAACATCTCCTGCTCTGTGCCGGGTAGGATACGTAATCGAATCTGCAGCATAAAAAGTCATAGAGAAAGATCATCAAATATACATATATGCAATATCTATATGTGGTTATCCTCAATTATTTACATAAGATTGGGTATCCAAACCTTTTTAGTGAAATATTCGCTCTCTCCTAGTCCATCTTTCAAAATGTAGGGCTAATTAGTATGAGTTTAGAACAAGGCAGACAGGAAATGTATAAAAAATATATGGAGGATTTCTCAGTTTCTACCAAGATCTACAAAGGTAACTTATACCTCCTAAACATGAGAACACTAGACAGGTTAATATTTTCTCTGTCTTAGCCCAGGTAGATTTTAAGTTCACAATATGTTAAGGGATAATTTGTAGAAGAGTGTCTACTTGTAGACATTATGCCAATATAAAACAAATTAGTTCTAATTTGTTCAGTTGTTTCTGTTTTCTCTTAAGGATTTTACCTTTGTGTCATAGTATGTAATTGCAGGATGAAAAAAAAATGTTTTGAAAATCTTTAGCAATACTTTTAAAAAGTATACAAACTGGTCAGATTTTGGCATCTTTGTATTTCCTTTTTTTTTATATATATATTTCCTACTATTTGTAAGTCAACACCTGGAAAAAATCAAGACACTCAAGAAAAAAAGCTTACTCATTTGTAAATAATACAGTTGGTATATTTGATACCGTATATTATAACTATAAAACAGTACCTGAACATACAGCGTATATCATATAACATTCTATTTTGCATTGAACAACAAACAGCACTCAGAATCTGCAGAGCGGTTAATAGGGTAAACACTTCTGGGTGTTAAGCCATGCTTGTTCTCTAATTATGCCTTATTAATTAGAAAGTCTTTCCTGACTTTGGGGGGCATCTCTGCTATCCCTCTCACAGTGGAGAACAGGACTCTCACTGAAGCATGGTTTTGCCTGGGTGTTTTGTTTGCTCATTTAAAGACCTGATGAACTTTTCCAACTCTGATTTGACTGCATGAATCAAAAAATCTAGGTAACTTATAGAAACCTTTCCTGTATCTAAACACAGCAAAGGTTCTATGCAAAATCAAAATCTCCATGAAACTGTACTGATAGAAACATGGGCTGTTAATATTATTACAGTGAGGTCTCCAGGCCTCCCACTGACGCGCGCACGCGCGCACACACACACACACACACACACTCATCAGTAATAAAGGAGAGATTTAAGTTTTCCAGGAATTATAACATAATACAGTCCAAGGATTTGTGGACTTTTGTAAGAAGAACCCACACATCTGATCTCAATGATGTGACAAGGGTAACCCACCTTTAGAGGGAGCTGTACCTAAGGTGCTTAAAAATTCCCTATTACCAAAACAACAGGGACCACAGTCAGCTTTACCCAGTTCATTCATAAATTCCTGGACACACTTTTGTGTCAACATTAGCAGCACAAGATATGACCTGTACCTGTTTGAGACCTGAGAACATGAAGGCATCACTGGGCTCCACAGAAATTTCCACATCTTGAACTAAGTCGGTCTTATTCTGTAGGTGATACTTGACAGGCAAGGACTCTCTGACTCGCCCAAATGATGGCAAATCTACAGAGAAAGATGACACATTTCTCTTGGTTTAAAAAATAGCTCACCATTTATGCTTCGTTTTGTAAAGGAATCTCATTCAACGGACATAGTATCATTTAAATGAATGAAGTTACAGTGCGCTTGCCAGATAAGAAAATTCTTTGATTTGGCAACAGCGACAGGACTATGATAAGACAGGCTAAGGAAATAAGTGTTCTTCTAAAAATGACTGGCCTAGACAGGGTCTTGGCTAGCAGGAACAGAATTATATTTTAGGGATCATTTTTTAAATCTATAAAAGATTTCCCAAAATATCAATCATGGTTCCTAAACTAGAATAAGCAAAAGCTGTGTTTTAGTGAAGTTGTAAGTAAAACTTTCATTCATGCATTTATGAATACACTGTTGTTTGGGTGCGTGTGCGTGTGCGTGTGCGTGTGCATGTGCGTGCGTGTGTGTGTGTGTGTGTGTGTGTGTGTATGTGTTGTGTGTTGGCAGTTCTGCCATTTTATTTTTCCTGAGATACAAAAAGATGGAGTGCTTCATGAATTTGAGTGTCATCCTTGCACAGGCCATGCTAATCTCTGCACCACTCCCATTTCAGCAAATATGCTGTTGAAGTGAGCACTATATACAGTTTTTTCAAATTATAGACATTAGGATAACCAAACAGTTAATAAAGGACAGTTTCTCTTCATAAAGTATTCCAGTAAAGAAAGAATGATGGACAGATGTTATCTGCCTCCTGGTGGGAGCACACACCATTTATGAAGTATTCTTGTCAAAAACTTGACCCTGAATCTGTTATCAAGCCTATAGACAAGGCAATTTACAGGAACAGAGAAACATTTAAAAATGACACCATGCAATCTGCAATATTCAGCCTATGGGAAACTCTATAGGACAAATGACTTAGCTTCTTCAGCAAGGAAGAGATGGAGGTAGGAAGGAGAAGGACAGAGTGGTAGACAAAGTGGTATTAGAAGAGGTGATGGAGGGGTTAACGGTGGGAGTCGGGGAGAGGAGAGAGGGTATGGGAGAGGGAGAGGTAGTCAGCCTACCTGCCTACCTATAGGTTATAGATGGATAGTATGAGACTTATCCATCAGTTGCAGTGTATAGACCTCAAAATAAACTGAAAAAACATCCAAAGTTAACTAGGAAATTTTCAACATTGGAATTTGATGACATTAAGACATTACTGCTAATTTTTAAAGTCATAATAATGGTACTATAATTATATATTTTTAAATAGCCATTATTTTTAAAACGGACATATGAAAGTATTTATGGCTTGAAATGGTATCGAGGATTTGTTTCAAATAACAGGGGTGGGAGGAGTGTGTAGAGGTAGGGATGAAACAAGACTGGCCATAACCGACTTTTACAAATGTTGAAAAATTTTCATAACCGGATGTTAAAATAACTAAACTCTTAAAAGTTAAAATAACTACTGTTATTGGATCCTTCTCATCAAGTAAAATTTAAATTCTGTTACCTGCATTGACATGGAGAGGGATAGTTTCCACAATTACATGTGGCAGAGTGATGACAGTACTGATGGTGGGGATGTTCTCCATGGCTGAAGTCCTGTGACAAAAGAGGTCATCGTTTAAACTCACACTTTCCAAAAGAAGTTAATAAATCAAAAACAGGAAACGTGTACTCACCAACTAATTTCAAAAGAAATATGTTACTTATCCATTTCCCAAAATATTATTATTATTATCATTATTTGAGACAGAGCCTTACTCTGTCACCCACGCTGGAGTGCAATGGCACAATCTCAGCTCACTGCAACCTCCGCCTCCTGGGTTCAAGCCATTCTCCTGCCTCAGCCTCCCGAGCAGCTGAGATTACAGGTGCACACCACCACGCCCAGCTAATTTTTGTATTTTTAGCAGAGATGAGGTTTTGCCACGTTGGCCAAGCTGGTCTTGAACTCCGGACCTCAGGTGATCCACCAGCCTTGGCCTCCCAAAGTGCTGGGACTACAGGCATCAGCCATCATGCCCGGCCTCCCAAAATATTATTAGTGGAAGTGGTTTTGTGAAGTTAAGAGCTTTTAAAATTCCACATCTGAATATTTCCAGTTAACAAATGGTTATGACCCAGGGCTGCTGTGTATTACCAGCGGGGGATAATCATTATGCACACCATTTAATATAGTGTTTTGGTAGCAATACTTTCTCAATTCAGGAACAGTGCAGTGATTTACATTATAACATAAATTCCTTCACTCACTGAGAATGGCTTACAGGTGGGCCTGAGACCAGTTTGACAAGCACTGTTGTAACTCACTTACAAGTATATAGCAGAAACTGAGGAACTAAAAGTGTTTTACTATCAACAAACATGGTGGTATTCCCATATTTAGGGAGCCAAAGTAACATTATGAAACTGATAAGTATTTTCCCTGTGGTATGGTTAAAGGTGGGAACTACAGGGGTGGTGCCAGGGAAATCTCTGTGAGTCTAGGGGCAGAGCAGCTGACATTATGTGCAAATTATCAGAGAGCAAAACCAACAGGCAAAGAAGCTAAGCCCTCATCAATAATACATGAATACACCTCTGTCGTAATACTGCGGCATGATGGAATAATTCAGCAAGGCCTTAAACATGCTGTTTTGACACCTACAATCAAATAAATAAAACTAAACATCAATATAGTAAATTCAGGAATGGAGAAAAAGAAAGACAAGTTTATTTACTTCTTAGTAATATTACATATTTTTCCATTCTTAAAAAGTTTCTGCTTTAGTTCCTAACATGGTAAATATTTGTGCATATAATTCACATAAATAAGCTATTTAGGGTTCTCAATGAGTTTTCAAAGTGTAAAGGTGTCTTGAGGCCAAAACGTTTGAGAACTGTGGGCCTACAGTTATCTTTTAGTTTCTGCCTTTGTCAGGCTTAGGGATGGGTGCTCTTCATGAACAAACCCAGGGAATTTTCCTTCTTGCTCTATGCTTTGCGTATAACTTATAACATGAAAACAATAAATAACACCATGTAATTATATATGCTAAACATATATTCTTTGAAGCTAATCTCATAAATTTCCTCCAGTTACTGGTTTTTTAGGTTAAAAATTTTCCTTTAGTCAATTTTTATCATTTATAACCTTTTTGGGACAGCCATAACATTCAGATCTTTCTACTAGTTACTCTGAGTTGTACAAAACATTCCCTTAAAACCAGTATCTTCTGATTCCTTTCTCATTTTTAAGTAATATATGTTATTCCCTGTTTTAGAATTTTTGAAAGTAATTAAGCCATACCAAGAGGATAACACATGAATACCATGTATCTACTTCCCAGTCTAAGAAAGAAATTACAAGTATACAACTGAATCTTCTTGCAGAGCCCTTCCTGCTTGTACCTCCCCGCCCGAAAGGTAGCCAGTATCCTGAATTTGGTATTTATCATTCCCACGTATTTTATACTTTTCCAAATTACGTATGTAGTCCTAAGAAATATATAGCATGTTTGACATGTTTTTCAATGTCATATTAATGCAATTTATTCATATTCTCATCAGTAGCTTGCTTTGCTCCCTTTACCTTAAGATGTTGATACGTGTAGCTCTGGTTCATTCACCTCACTGATATGTAGTATTCCATTGTGCGAATGTGTCACAATTTATTCTCTTTTCTATTGATGGGAATTTAGTTTTTTTTCCACCCCCCATTTTTTTACTATTACAATCAATGCTGCTATGAACATTTTTCTTTTTTTGAATCAGGGTCTTGCTCTGTTGCCCAGGCTAGAGTGCAGTGGCACAATCTCAGCTCACTGCAACCTCCGCCTTTTGGGCTCAAGCCATCCTCCCACCTCAGCCTCCTGAGTAGTTGGGACTACAGGTGTGCATCGCGGAGCCCAGCTAATTTTTGTATTGTTTCAAACTCCTGAGCTCCGCAATCCTCCCGTCTCGGTCTACAAAACTGCTGGGATTAGAAGTGTGAGCCACCGCACCCAGCCATGAACATTCTTATACGTTAACACCCTTTGTGTACAGATTTAGTTTGGCTAAAATTTCAATAGCATATAAGTCACAAATTGTGACAAGCACAAATTCAGGTTTAATTATCTTTTTCAGCTTTGTGTTCACATCCATGCGACTTCTGCTCTTCAGAATGACAGAAACTCTCAAATATTAAGTGACAAAGATGAATAATAAAGATATCAGAATAACAAAGACACTGAAGAAAAGACCAGATTGATATAATGTTTACCTTTTCCAAGAGATAATATAATGGCCGGTTGCTACTCCACCTTCAACATTTCCAAGAGATGGGCATCGAAGACAAAAACATTCACTAGCACTCTCTCCAGTCTGTAAGACAACTACAGGGAAGAGTCTTTATACCCTATGCAATGGTTTCGTCTATGCAAGGAGAGTTTCACATCCAAGTAATATAACAAATAAAGAATATCTCACCCATTATATGTTATTTATAGAGACTCACAAGGTAGGGCTCAGAGATGTTAAATGACTTTTTAAAGGTCACAAAGTCTACTGTTTTTGCTAATGTATCAATATTCCATTATAGTAAAATCCAGCAAGGCATCTATATATCTGTGAGTCAGTCCTATGGAAACTAATGAATGTGAAAAGCTTAGAGACAGAATAAATATCTTATGGTGACTGTTTTTCTTTTTCTAAATTATTTCATGTCTCCAAAGTAAATACTTTGGGGTAGAGAAAAAGAAAATAGAAAACTTACGCTACCCTTAAAGTACTCAAAATATCATTCCAGAAAATTGTGGCTTTCTCTTAATAAACACATACAGGTTGACCATCCCTAATCTAAAAATCTGAAACCAAAATGCTTCAAAATCTGAAACGTTTTGAGTGCCAACATGACACAAAAAGGTTATTCTACAAGGAAAGGCATCCAGGCGTGGTGGCTCACAACTGTAATCTCACTTGGGGAGGCCAAGGCAGGAGGATTGCCTGAGATCTAGGAGTTTGAAACTAGCCTGGGCAACAAAAGGAGACCCCGTCCCTTTACATAATTAAATTAGCCAGGTGTGATGGTGTGCACCTGTGGTCCCAGCTACTTGGGAGGCTGAGGCAGGAGAATAGCTTGAGCCAGGGAGTCTGAGGCTACAGTGAGCCATCATCCTACCACTGCACTCCAGCCTGGGTGACAGAGTGAGACCCCGTCTCCAAAATGAAAATAAAAATTTTTAAAAGGCTGGGCACAGTGGCTTATGCCTGTAACCCCAGTACTTTAGGAGGCCAAGGTGGGTGGATCACAAGGCCAAGAGACTGAGACCATTTCGGCCAACACGGTGAAACCCCATCTCTACTAAAAATACAAAAAATTAGCTGGGCATGGTGGTATGTGCCTGTAGTCCCAGCTACTCAGGAGGCTGAGGCAGAGAATTGTTTGAACCCGGGAGGCGGAGGTTGAGGGAGCCGAGATTGTGCCACCGCACTCCAGCCTGGCAACAGAACAACACTCCCTCTCAAAAAAAAAAAAAATTTTTTTTTTAAAAGACAGAATGTTCTTTAAAGCATTTCAGATTTCATATTTTTAGTTTAGGGATGCTCAACCACTAAGTATAATGCAAGTATTCTGAAATCTGCAACACTTCTGGTACCAAGCATTTCAAATAGGTA